TTAGCATTTTACTTACTTATATTTAATAAAAAAATATGGTGTATATTATTTAATTAGAGCTCTAGAGCTTTAGCAAGGATTTTTCTTAGCAAGGAATATTAAACTTAAAACTTTAAAGCCTTGCATCTCTACGAATACTAGGCTAAATTAGGTAATTTTTAGCTCATTTTAAAGAGAAAAACTCGCTCTATATTTTAGATTTTTAGTCTATATTACGTAATCATTATCCTAGCTAGGTAGAGCAATTCGATGTAATTTCAACAGTTTTAACTATTCTAACAGATTCAACGATTTAATAGATTTTCACTTTTCCTAACGCCTATAAAGTAGAGATAGAGGATATAGAAGATAGTAACACTTCTAATAAATAATATACTTATATTTATAGTATATAAATTTATTATAGTATTATGCTACGTTGCTATGTAGGCGTTTTAGTAAGAATTAGTAGCTAGCTTAGTTAGATAGCTAGCTCGCTTATAAACTACGTTATATATTCTATTATTAAGCTAGCTACTTTTTCTTAGTACTACGAATACTATATATAAAATATAAAATTACTCTATACTCTCTATAGATCCTTTATATAATATAGCTAACATACCTTACAGGTTAGCTAAACACATAGTTTAGCTAAATACTTTTGCTAAGCCTCTACTAAATTCTACCTCTTAATGTAATACCTTAATAATAATACTAGATAGACCTTTCTAGCAAACGTTATATATAGACTGCTCTTTAAGCTCTTAAATAAGACGCAATACTATTCTTGCAACGCGCTATAGCTATCTATAACGTCTCTTAAGTAACACTAAGCGATTAACGCGCTAGATAGCCTTTATAAGCAGATTACTAGCCTAAAATAAAGAATCTAACTAAGACTAAGAAGAATATAGTTATTAAGCATATACTTAAGCTAGTTACGCATAGATTTCCTTCTAACGCTCGCAGCTATAGCTAATATAGCTAATTCTCTGCGCGCTAAGCGCAGTCTAGGCTAAGTTAGCTTAAACTAGCTTAGTACGTTCGTTAAACGCCGCTCTAAGCTCTAAATAAAGTTTAATTATAAATATAACTATAAGAGAGCTCTCTATAAGGATTCTAAGATTATATAAGACTAGTTTTAGCTTATAGAGAATATAAAGGCGAAGTATAGTATTCTTAATAATAATATATATAACTTTAATAAGTCTAGCTTTATAATAAGCTAGATCTTAACTAGAGCAGTTATTATAGCTTTAGAGCAACAAGGATAGCTAAAGATAGTATAATAGAGCAATTAAGAGTAGATAATAGTTATCTAAGGCGTTAATATAACAGAGTAGGCTATTCTATCTTTTATTATCTTTAAGAGCTGCTACTACCTCTTAGCTTAGTATAAGGAAGAGAATCTACTTTATAATTAAGTTATTATAGTCTCTAAGAATAGCTAGATAATAAATAAGCTTAGTCTATAGTAGTTAAAGCACTTTAATAAGCATATAAAGAGAAGAGTTATAGGCGCTTATTAGCTACTTATTATTAATAGCTATAAGAGCTATAACTTGCTTAAATTCTAGTAATACTATAAAGATAATAAGATTATTACTCTCTATATGCCTCCTTACTTATTATACCTCCTACAGCCTCTTAATATAGGTTATTTTACCTCTTTAAAGAAGGCGTATAGACGCTAAGCTAAAGAGCTTATGCGTAACTAGATTATATATATTATAAAACTTAAGTTCCTACTATGCTTTAAGCGCGCCTTTAACGTAGCAATTACTCTTAGTAATATCTAAGAAGAGTTTTAAGGCGCTAAATTAGTCCTATTTAACCTAGAGCAGGTTATATTAGCTCTTAACGTCTATATCTATACTCTACTATTACTTACTATTAAAGACTATCTCTAGCAGTCGTAAACTTTAAGTAATACTCTTAAATTAGGATTGTAATTAACGCTTATAAAGGCAAGAATTTAGAGGTATATAGATAGCTTACTAACGTCTATAGTAGAGGCCTTTAAGAAAGTCTTAAAAGAGGCAGCGATTATTACGCATAAGCTAGTGTTAGCATAGAAGAAGATTACTAAGCTTTAAGTAGCTAATAAGGCTGCTACGCAACATAAATCGCATAAAAGAAAGCGTATATAGAAAGAAGAGACTTTAATAGTTAAAGATAGTCTTTAATAGATAACTCTAAAGGAGTTTAGTGCACGTAGTAATAGAAAGAAGGTAAAGAAGTAGGTTTACGCTAGTATAGGCAAGCTCTCCTAAAGGTAGTATAGATAGTATAATAAGACTAGGCATAATGCGCGTACGTGTAAGAAAGTAGTAGAAGTAGACTCTAAATAATATTATATCTTGCTTTGTACTATATAGAGCTAAAGTAGGTTATTTTACGCTAGAATAGAGTAGTTTTAGTAGGAGCTTAGCAAAAGTATCTAGCTAAACTGTATGTCTAGCTAACCTATAAGGTACGTTATACTCTTTTACTTATTATATATCTTATAGCCTCTTAATATTATCTACTTCTTACTATTAAAGCGCTTATATAGTAATAGTATCTTAGCTTTAGTATATAATTATATCTACTATATTAGCAAAGAAACCTTTCTATTAGCTTTTAAGATAGCTTAT